ACCTTCCTTTTTGAAATGAACAATTACCCTGGCAAAAGCCTTAGTGAAGACTCTGACATCAGCCTGAAAAGTAGGTGTTGGCTGCATTGACTGCTGCCAGCTCCTATCTCAGATATCACCTATGGGATGCTCCCATAGCAGACTGGTAACCTACTGAGCTAGATATATAAATGAAACACACAAAGATCTCAAGGTTTCTCAAAGCTATTCAAGACTCCATCAGTCTCAACAGCATGAGCCACAGGTGTTGAAAGTCTCCCACTATAATCTGCACTTCTTGAGAAGCATGAGAACCTGCTTCATGTTTACAATACTGAGAAAACCGCAACAGCTGATGAAATGCTGGAGAGAGGTACAATACACCTGTTAGGCTTCAGTAGGGACAACATGAAGAAGTATCTCTAGTAGCTGCCTGGACTCCTCTAAGCTTCATATGCCAACATCAAGAGACTGTACTTCATAAAGAGCACCAGAGAGCTCACCATCCTGAGACTGAAGACTGCTTGTGCCCCTCTGATGTCCAACCTTTTGTGAAATGTATGCTCCAAAGCCTCTTCCCTGTCTGCCTTATTACATGCTGCAAAGGTAGGAGCAGATTGGAGTAGCAAAAAATCACCACTTGACTTGTCAAGCTGTAAGGGCAAACAATGGCAAGAGCCTGAATAAATATTCAGATGACCTCATTAACTGCAAGAGAAATCTCCACTACTGGGATATATTGCAGGGAGTCTGACTCAGCTTCAAGTACTCCTTTAAAGGCCCCAGAGAACGCTGGCCAGCCAGCATTTGAAGGGAAGTCTTAAAATCCCCATGCTGATGCCACACACCTGCTGCTGGAAGGCCCAGAGAGAGTCTCCTCAACGCTTGGCACAAGGAGCATAAGAAAAATCAGCGAGAGAAATCTCGAGACTGAGCACTGATAAATGCAGGTAAAACAAGGATAGGACTAGCTGAGGATCTACAAGCTTAGTGCAATGGGAAACAGTCCTCAATGCATTGCAACAGCACAAAGAGAACATTTCCAGATCCTCTGTCACTTCTTGTGACATGGGTGACATCTTGGCTGGCAGCAGGAGGGGTGCAGTCTTCTCATCTCTGTTAGGATTTGGAAGAAATGGAAGAATCTTTCCTAAGAGTGAATCATTGAGGAAGACGGAAGATCTGCCTCAATATATTACTTGGTATTGGAGACAGGCCTTTAGGATCTACCTGACTCCTCCTTAGCTAGCTGGTGCAAACCAATTTCCAATTCATCATTTGATATTCTAGCAGAGATACAGTCTCTACAGCCTGTCTCAGGGCTTGTCCAGAGTCTTTTCAGACCAAAACAATTAACAGAACAGGTGAATTGTCCTGCTGCATGTAAGCTACAGGCCATGGAGCTAACTCAGATTTGGTACTGATGGCATGGTCAGAGTGGTGCAATTGTTGAAGAAATAATGCACAGAGTATCTTAACCCTGAAAAAATGGACTTTGGGGAGTGCAGTAGAAAGACCTAGATAGCGGAGTCTTCAACTTTTTTTTTAAACGTATGAACATTTATGCCAATAAAAGCATAAAAGCTAAAACCAAGACAGGCTAAATACAATGGTCTTATCTCTTCCTTTAGCTTTTTCTCCACAGCTATTTACCATAGCTTTTTTTGCTGTGCACTAAAGTGACATTCTGAAAAGCAGAATGCTTTTGCTTTTTCTCAGAGGAGTCACTTTTGTCCCGATACAGCTTCCTTTACTGCCTGAACCAAGTGTGTTATTATCTACAGTAAAAAATTTTTTAAAGATTAATCTGGCATGTCTCATTATTTCTAATGCAACTTTTAATTTTCTTCATTGCAAACATATTAACTTACTGAAGCAGCCATTGAACGTCATAGTTTAAACTGGAATACCTCCACAAGCTCAAAATATTACAAATAATAATATTACAAATATTAGCAGGAGCATGACAGTTTGTTCTAAGTAGTTTTGGAAGAAACTGTAAGAGCTTGTAACACTGTGCTACTCACTTGATTCAAGAGCATCCAGTTTCTGGAATGCCCCCAGGATATCCGCATTTATTATTTTGGGCAAGAAATCCCGCAATTGCATAACTTCAGTTGTCAGCCTTTCCAAATCCCTTCTTCTAACTTTAACAAATTCCTCTTTGGTCTCAGCCTTCTGAAACAAAAAACAAACAAACCAACCAACAACCATCCAAAGACACTGCTGCAGCCTTGTTGTGCTTTTCTGTTTGAATCCTTTCTCTTGGACAAAAATATTCCTCTGTGTTACATCACTGCAGTTCTCTTTAAAAAGAGAACTATCCAGTAATAACTAAGGCCAAAAGTATCTGAGATTGACTCTTTGACTGTAATCTAATTTCTACCATTCTAGCCTAGAGCAAATCACATTATCTCTCTACATATTTCTTCACCTAAAATCTGCACAACCTACCTCAGAATGCTGTAAAAATTAACATTCCCATTTTAAAATGTGAGCAGCCATGCATACGCCAAGTGATTTTTTTCAAGTAACTGAGTTACTGCATTAATTATTCATTAAATATTAATTAATTAATTAAATATTTGCAAGATCCTCAGTTGCCTTGCTCAAATACAACAGCTCTTTTAGAGGAAAATGTATTTTTTCCAAAGGAATTCATCTTTTGTGAACAGGAATAAATACTTGCAACTATGTGCAACCCAATCCCATGTAAAAGTAATTTAATCCTGATTTAAGACAAAAAATGATTACTAGTTTCCTCTTCTGCCAAGCTATTGCCATAAAATAACTTTAATTCTACAAGAGAATGTGCATTTATTTCAGATACAATTCTGTACCAAAAACCTCCTAAACTCCCATTTCTGATGTATGCCCATGTGCACACTGCTGTATCTTAAAAAAGCCACCATACACACACAGATGTGAAAATGTCCTTTGCCTAAAACATTAACTACCTAATATTCTTTCGGAGCACAAAATTATAACACAGACTTTAGTACTGGTTTGCACTGCATTGCGAATGGTGTAGAAAAAAAATAAGATCCTTTATGTATCACCTATTATTCCAGAGGGAAAAACGTACCACAGAATAACACAAGAAACTACCTCCTGCAGGTACAAAACCTGCCATCCACAGAGTCTTCTCGAGTCCAACTCCACGAGACAAACGAAGACCGTTCTCACTGGTACAGACAACGCTACCCTGGCAATTCCATCCTTTCCAACCCTTTCCTGTAATTCTCTCTTTGCTTCTTAGTTCCTCGGGTTAAACATTTCCTTTCAGTTTTGCTTCCCTGCTCTATTTCTTTTCCAACTATCTTTCAAACCCAGAGGTTGTAGGGACAGAACAGGCCAGTTTCAGCTTTCCCAGTTTAGAGGCATCAGAGCCGCAATGAAGGTATGGAGAAAGATGTCACTTGAATCGGATGCTCTCAGCAGCTTTATTATTAGAAAGTGCTTATGGCCAAGTTAGTACAGCCAACTACCATGTTACAAGAGTCAGGAAAAATACAACTCATTTAGGTCTCAAGAAATTATAGAATGAATAAATGGCAACAGAACCCTACAAAAGAGAACAATCTACAAGCTAGCGAACAGTTAGATAGGAATGACAGAGAGACAACTCAGTATTGCTCAAAATTATGGAGCAAAACTTGGCATAAGCATAACAAAACTGGCTGTGTTCACTGCCAGAAGCTAAATTCAAATAAAATAGACTACTTATGTGCTGTGACTGAGGTATGAAATATACAGTATATATAAAATCTGATTTATAATTTCTCCTGTAAACACAGGTCTTCACAATACTGCAGTTCTAACAGATGAGGTTTATTTCCTCTGTTTAAGCAGCTGCTCAGCATCTCCCCCCATGCAACAGTGCATTAAAAGCAAACAGAGACAATGAAGAAGTGATTTTCTGTCCAAGCCCCTTACAGTAACAGCAGGCTACTAGATGTAGGAAATTTTACTATGATCCTTAAAAATCTTATGTGCAGCTGCCAGGTTATTAGTTAAGTGCCTCAGCTCGGGACCTGCGTGACCGGAACACTCCTTCCCGGCCTGGCAGGGGGCTGAATTGCGCTGAGGTCCCAGCAGAGAACTGCAGCCAGCCCCATCCCCGCTCTCCACCAGCCCAGGCGGAGTCTCTGGCTCTGCTCCACGCTCCCCGCCTTACACGGGACAGGGTCCCCCACCCTTGCCCTCAGGCCTGCGCTGCGGCCCACACAGTCGGTGAGCGGCAGGACACCGCGGGGCTTCGCAAGGCCCAGCGGATGGCG